CCCACAAGGACCTTCAGTGGAAGCAGATGATGCAATAGGCATAAATGTTACTGTACAACCCAGGATGTATGTGCTGATCTAATGCACTCTGCTTTCCCTTCCTTTCTTCATTCCTCAAGAAATGCAAGTCAAGTATTCAGCAACTTGGATGGTTCTGTACCATAAACTACAAGTTACAACTTTAGCACCAAGTGGGCAGTATTACGTGCATGTGCCCACAAATATACCTCTTTCCTATTATTCTTACCCTTAGAAGGAATTAAAGGCATTGACAAATGCTACGAAGACATCAATTGGAAGATAAAAATCATTAGCACTGGGAAAGGGGTTAACTTTCTTTCCTTGTTCCCATATAAAGACCTCTTTATATTTTCTGATATTTTGATTTTCATTTTAGTAATTTTGGGCAATGTCTTTAAGCCTTTTCCTAGGAGTCTAATTCCTAGCTCATAGGACTTTGTTGTATTGGTTATTTAAAAAAAAACCAAAGTGCAACTACAGAATAATATAGAATTTGTGGCAGCAAGATTATTAAAAAATAATAATTGTGGCAGAGATTGGGCATAACCAATGAGCTGAGAACCATGGTGACAGCACTGCTGGTTTCAAGTGCTTCCACCACTGAGCTGTGGGCCAGTAACAAATTTTCTACTGTCCCCAAAACCCCAGTATGGCAACTTCTAATGTGGTGCCTCTCTCTGAGCAGCTGTATGGCCCCTGCTGGAGACAACTGTCTTCTCCTGCCTGGCCCTAGGTCTAAGCCCTGCTGCCCATGCTGCCACAAATACAACAGGTACATGGCACAGACAACATTCTTTGTGCTTCCAAGTCACACAGTATGAGCCGACAGCACTAACCTCCATGAGGGAATCCAAAATCTTCCAGTACAAATCACAAGATATTGTTCACCGTGCTGGAAACAAGAAGTGCCATTACCTGATTACAGCTCCAAGTGAGCTGCTTAGGTTTTTGTATCTTCTGTGACAGGAGACAGCCTCCTTCAGCTAAGCCATTTGCATATATTTAATTATATGAAGCAACATTAGTATGCTCTTTGAATACTAAGGAAACATCAAACAGAAAAAAGACTCACAAGGCCTTTTTTTAACCTTTAAGTATTGATTTAATTTGTCTGTATTCTATCATAAGATGTTGAAGAGTATAAAGTAGCTGAATCTCTCCTTTATGAAAATCACATCCCAAAACTGGAAATGACAACACAAACAAAAGATGTAGCCACACCAAGACAGAGATACACAGGATATTCGTACTTATTCATTAAATACTGTTCAATGATTGTTTTTGTAGAAAATAGTTCAACTGAAGAACAAAGCTTCCAGATTTATAATGCAAATAAAACCAACCCCTGCCCCAAAGAGCTAACACCCAATACTTAAAACATCTTATAGCTGAGATCTCAGTGGCATGGTTCCAAAAAACAAGATGCCAGCTTCAGAGAAAGGCTCAGATGCACCTACACAGGAAACAACCAGACACCAGGTAAAAACCCAAATAAACGTGGTGACAGCTTCACCCACATATCAGCAGTCCCATTCTACATCAGTTTTCACTCACCTCTGCCTTATGAGTGTCCAGAACTATTCTGCCACAGCACGAACTAGGAATTCTTCTAGCCTCCTCATTCTGTCTGACCATCAGTCCCCTAACAGCCTAATTTAATTTGAGAACTTCAGAGAATTAAAGCCTTTATCACAGGCACTAGTAATAAAGGGAGGTTTCATTTTGGAACCGATTCAAATGAGCCAGAAGAAATCTCTCAACAGGTTTCAATTGTCTTTGTTGTTTAGCAAACATTACGACTCTGTAACAGGCAAATGTGATGTAACTAATTAATGATCCTGTATTCTCAGCACCTACAGCCAAGGCTAGTCAAAACCACCTTAAATATCGGCAAGATCATTCAGAGAGAGTGTTTGATCTGACTGCATTTACTTTACTGGATGATAAGTGTACAGATGTTAACAGCTCCTAAATATGCAGCTAAGAATCCAGGAACATTTATATAAATTTTGCACTCAATTAAGCTTTAGACACACCAACACCTACCTGGATTTTCTACAGCATCACTGAACAACAGCATGTACCCAGGCCCTTTTAAAAGCCTGGTTTTGAGCATTACTCCTGCTATCTTTAAATATTTTTGAGATACTTTTACAAGGCTTAAATTCAAAATGAAGTTTTTTTCTGTCTCCTCCTTGGGTGAAATGCAATATTTACACTCAAAAGGCACAGGCACGTAAAAAACATACAGTGAGACAAAATCACGGGATTAACCCCTTACAAATCACCTGTGACTTGAAGGGGGGAATCTCATAAATTATTCAAGTTAAATTGTAGTCTGCTTGCAGGCAGAATGCTTCAAGATCTTCCAGAAGTGCAAAGCAGTATCTGCAGTAGAATTATTTTCCAAAATGCTCAATAGATATGATGGAGACAGTGAGAGAAGCAGGATACAGCTTAACTTTCAGAAAGCAGCTGTCACTTGAAATCATGTGCCATTTCCACATATAGACTCCCGCACAAATATATTTATTTCCCTGTCTTTAACAGCAGATGTTGAGTTTCCAATAGGTGAAAAAAAACCTGTATTATCTGCCAACTGAACCAGCATGGACAAACCTATACATCTACCTGGATCCTGCTGGGAAACTGTGACTGAAATTTAACTTTGCTGGTCCAATTAAAAGGCAATCTGGTGCACATCAGTGGTTTTTTTTTCAGATGTTAATAAGCAATCCCACATGCAACTGAAATCAGTGTGCTCATCTTTGCCTGCAACTCCTAACCTTCTGGCAAGTAAACCTGCTCTCAGTGACCTCTATCTCTGACTTCTTTCCAGCCTAGAACTGGTTAATTACCTTTCACTGTTCCTGTTATTTATGCTACAGGAGAAACCTCAAGCCAGGTCAGCCCTTTTGCAAAAAGCAGAAAATTATTTCAGTGTAAAGCTCTTTGTGGCTGAATATAACATGACAGACAGAAGAAAAGAATGTCAAAACAGTAGCATAAGAAGCAAAAAGGCTTTAAGTTCAAGTTGAAGAACAGACTACTAGCAGGCCCATAACCCAGCATCTCCTGGTGGGCTCACTACAGTTGTTAAACTGCTCTGCTCGGTTCCTAACACATAGCTTACGTGTCTTTTCAGCAAATCCATTACAGCTACCATATTTTTCTCACATTATTAAAGATGGGTCTTTGCAGCATCTTCATCCTTGCCACAACACACAGTTACTCTCATTCATTTCTATTGCATCCTTCTGACCTTACCTTGGACCCTTATCACCTTACTAGTTCGAGGCACTTGGAGAAAGACAGGGGAAAAGCATGAAAACAAAGTGAGTCAGCACTTTCTGAGCAGCACACAAGCATTATTCAGAGCTGATCAGGGTACTCACCACAGTCAGATGAGCATGAGCCCAAGACCACCAAACAACAGACTGGTGAGCAAACTTTCCCAAACACCTCAAAATGAGTCACTGGGCAAGGCCACCCCACAAAGCACTTCAGGGAAAAAACACACTCTCAGCTGCCTCGTACCAGTGCTAAAGGGCAACAAAGCACAGAGGGTACTGTTCTGTCACACTTCTACTTCCCTTACAAAATGCCTACTGCATTCAGTACAGCTGAATCAAACACACCTGATGAGACTATTGCCTTGACTTGTATAACATTCTCCCTAAAAAGCAAGGCTCACAGCTGCAAAAGCTTTTCCTGAGTAAAGTACATGCACAGTGTCTTACTATGCACTGTTGCCCTCCTGCTCCCTTATCAGGACACACTGACAGCAGTAGTAGTGATGATATTAGTTAGGGAAGTGGTGTTCCACATCCTACAGTGGAAATCTGAATTCTTATAATTTAAGACCAAATTACTGATAGAAGGTCTAAAGGTCACAAGTGCTCATTTGCCACACAAGAATAGTACCTTGCTACTCACAGCACTGCTGCGACAGTATCTTCCTACAAAAAGAGATTTGAAGGGGTTTTGTTCCCAGTCTTCATCTTTCAGCAATAAAATTAAGGGTACATAACAGGAAAAAAAAACAATCCACTCCTTTCAGCATGGCAGAGTACAGCTGTAGGATTCTCATCCATCATCTGCAAGAGACCTCTTCTACAAAACTCCCGTCTGTTATGGTACAGTAAGTCCATTAAACTGTGAGTGATGTACAACCATCACTCCAGGATAGCACACCTCACTCGAGAGAGATGAACACTGCTTCAGTGCCTCTGCATTTGCACTGGACAGAACAAGATTTACTGTAAAAACAGCCTCCCCAGCAAAATGACTACCTATTGAGTTACAAGAAACACAGTTAATTATTGTACTCTGGCCACAGCATTCTCTGTTCTGCGACTGTGAGCAAGTGCTAACCTCTCTGTACAATTTCTCCACACCTAAAATACATTACTTCTACCTTGTTGTGAAGCACCTACTAAAATCTGTTAAAGTGCTTGCCAACAACACAATTAAACTTTACTTAAGGGCAACCTTTATCCATAAGCATCTTGCAATATGTTCTCTCTTCTCTGCAGGCTTCCCAACATATTCTTCCACAGGAAACCTGGCCCTGTCATCCATAAAATAAAGTTTCATTTTTTGATAGAGCTTATTCAGGCATGATTAATGCAAAATATTAATAGGGAAGAGGAAAGCTACACATAACATTTACACTAATTTCTAAAGTGAATCAATATGTGTTTTAATCCATAGCGTTTGGAAAAGCACACCATTGTATCAGATATAAGTAGATAAAGAAAACGGCATCATTTAGAGCACATCAACTCATTCTACTGATCCATGCAGTCAGTCATTACACAGAAGTAGTCCTGGCATATATAAACAGACCTCTGTATGTCTACACCAATCTTATCTGTCACACAAGAAGTTAGAGGAAAAAAAAAAGCTGCAAATTTCAGCTTAAGTTGTTTCACAACAGTTTCTCTACTCCAGCAGTTCTTAGTTATTTTGCTACTCACTCTAGTGTGAAGTCATTATCAGTACAAGCTGAGGCTATAATCGCCTGGTACAACTTCCTGTGCAGGAGGCATCACTGTTTTTAAATATATGCTTGGGGTTTTTTGTTTGAGAGTTTCTGGCATCCTTCTACCTTCTTGTAAAGCATTTTCAGTTTTCCTGTAGCAGCAAGGTTGCAATCTCCCACACAAGCACCTGCATAAGGTATATCATTCTTAGATGTCTGCACAAGGACTTAAAACACGACTTTTAGAAATACGTAACAAAGATAAGGATCAGAAGTCTTGGTGTGACATTGCTAAAACAGATTCTTTCGTGGGTTCTTTTCAGCCATTCCAGTGAGTGCTCACTTGTTGAAATAAATGCTAAAAAGCATTACTTGTCATTTAAATAATGTTCACCACATGGTATCAGCCGAATACACACCTTAACTCAGTTCGCGGCCATTATTTAATTCGGCTTAAATATCTTTATGAACAGACGCCGATAGGCGAAAGGCAGAGCTCCTACAACACGTGAGCACGTCACCAGGGAGGCAGCCTGCCCCTCTCCCCGCTCAGCTCACGGACTCCCGGGTGCGGCGGACGGAGCAGCTGCCACGACCGAGCCGCGCCCGCTGCCCGCTCCGGACCCGGCCGGGGCACGCCGCGCTCGCTCCGGAGCGGCGCCTTCGGGGAGGCGGCAGCGAGCGGCGATGGCACCCGCCCGTTCCCGGGGCAGCCGCACCGCCCGCCCCATCCCCGGCCACCGCCAGCCGCGCCGAGCGGCCAGCACCGAAGGGAAAGTGGAAGGGGCGGCACGCCCGCCCGGCGCGGCAGAGCCGGCCCGCCGCAGCTCCGCCGTTTCCACGGAAACCCCGGCGCGGGCAGAGCTCGCCACACAAAGGGGGCTCGCAGGCGGCAGGAAAATTCTCGGCGGCCGCGGGAGACACGGCGCGGGTCCGGGCGGCGGGGAGACCCGGCCCGGCGACGAATAAATCAGGGAACTTGTACACGCAGCCCACCGCCCGCCTCTCCCGCACGCCCCGCCGGCGGCTGCCGGGCCCTCGCCTCGCCGCCACAGCGCGCCGGGGGGCAGCAGCACCAGGGAGGGGCTGGCTCGGGGCTGGTTTGTCCGCCCAGAGCAGCGCGCCGGGCGGGGAAGGGAGGGCGGCCTCGCACCTGCGGAGCGCGGAGGGCGCCGGGGCAGAGCACGTACCTGGCGCCGGCGGGCCTGGGCACGCGTGCCGCGCTGGGGCGCCGGGAGCGGGCGGCGGCCGAGCCGCACCGGCTGCCACTACTTTGCACGCGGCGGGAGCGGGCGGGCGGCTCGGGCGGGGCCGCCAGGCTCCACCCGCCGGGCGGCTCCTCTCCGGGAACAGGGCCCCCCTCGCCTTCCCTTCCCGCCGTCATCATGTCACTTCCTCCGGGGGCGGTGGGAAGGGGCGACCCCTCCCCGCACCGCCCTCGCCCGCCCTTCGGGGCGCCGCCGGAGCAGAGAAGGAGAGATCGCGGTGCCGCGCCGCGACTGAGGAAGGGCCGTGGGCTCCGAGGAGGGAAGGGGAGCCGGGGAAGCGGCGGCCCGGGAGAAGGAGAGCGGCGTAGCGCCCGTCCCCTGAGCGTCGCCGGCCCTGGTCGGTACTGAGTGCTCGTCATCCCTTACCGGGGCAAACGCGGGGTGATGCGCACCTGTGACCATCTGACCCTTCAAGTAGAAACCGGGCAACAAAAAGGAGCTCCATGGCCTGGATGCTGTGGAAAAAGATAAATGCCGTGGCAGCCATCCAAGCACCGAGTACCCTGACACACAATATTCACTCTATGTGAGAACGCAAACATTTGCTGCCAGGCTCTGATTGTGGGGTGAAAGGCAGCTTCCATGAATAGGGAACAGCAGGAACTGAGTCTATTATAAACACCCAAAACGTTGGAAGGTGATGGTGACTGGGATGACACATCACTGGGACAGCACTGTCAGCTGCTGGATGTGTGATTATATAGCAGGGCTGGAGGGTTCCTGAATCTGGGGGCTGGCAGGCAATGAGCTGGATAGAGCAAAGTCCTGTTTCAGTCCCAGTCCATACCAGCCATGTAGAATCCCTTTCTACCTTCCATGTAAGATGAACTCAAATTAAACACTTGTTTTGGTTTAACTCCAGTCATCAGCTACTGGCTAGGCATCTGTCAGTGTCTGGTGAGCACTCATACTGTGCATCACTCATTTTTCCAGGGTTTTACTCCTCTCTCTCCTTTTCATTATGCTTATTGTTATTGTTGCTATTATCACTACTGCAATATCAAGGCTGCTGCACAAGGGAGGAAAGCCTGGAGCTGAGGGCAGCCACACCACAGGCAGTGTTCTCACTGGCCAGAGCACTTTGCCACAATTCCTGAACAGGGCAGTGGCAGCACAATGCAGCTTCACTGACAGTCCTAGACAAGATGAAGCAACGAAACAGGTCTGAATATTGTACAAAGAGCATAAGGCCACAGCTGGACACAGAGCTACAATAGCAGAGCTACAATAGGGTTGGGAAACAAGGACCAAACAAAACGTGCATGTATCTACTAGAAAGCTCTGATGGGACTAAAGGCCCAGAGCTGGGCTTAAATGGAGCTCTGGCCCATGGGCCGTGTGTGTGGATCCCAGGGGAGGCTGGTCAGGGCTATCAAGGTGTAACTGTGCCATCAGTGCCCTGGCAGACTCCTGCTGATGGGGTGTGTTGAATGTACTCTTTGAGAGGTCAAGATTTGGTTACCTTCTTCCCATTTGGTTATGGAGGAGTTGAATCTAGCTCACTGACCCATGGTCTAGCTGCTGAACTGCTATGTGGCAAGAGATTGGTAAAGGGAACTTCTCCAGCCATATTTTAAAAGTATGACCCTGTGGCTGCATTTTGAGAAAGGGCTAATTCCAGGCAGAGGGAAAAAATGAAAATCCATGAATGAGGCACCTAATTATGGAGAACGGCTGGGTTCGTAGCACAGCCATATCCAAAGCATCCCCAACCACCTACCTGAAGCAGCTTTGTGAACTACATGTACAGATTCTTGGGATATTACTCCAAGGTATCTTATTCAGCATCTAGGTAACATCCTGAGAGCCAAGACTCCAAAAACCAGTGATACTGAGTGTGCTGGTTTCTCAACATGTTTTCCTTAATTTTCCTTGAAACTAAACTCTCTGTAGCTGGTTATTTGTATGCTCTGATTTTCTGTGAACCCATAATAAAAATCTGACTTTTTGCTTTTGTTAGTGTTAAGCTGCAGCTGAATGTAATAGGCTTTATGGATGCTTTACACCTGAGAAAACTTTCCACTGGAGAGGCAAATTCTAGTTTTGATCCAGTACATCTATTTTTCAAAAGACTAACCAGGAATATATGAGTAATAAACCCCTCTTATTTAAGTTGGGAATTAAAAAGTTAGTCTTACGAAACTGTTAGATACTATGATAATGACTGACATTGAAAAGCACATAGAAAAAATTACTTCTGAGCTAAGAGCAGGCCTTGTGATGTTCTCACTGAGTATTTTCCAGGGGTGGAAGAAGGAGGATAAAAAGGAATCAGATTCTCTTTCTGTAAGCTCTGCCCTTTAGAGCACTGAATGGAGTATGTCTCAGTTTTGGCATTCTTTGTACTGAGTGCTTGGTTTGCAATCTCAGTGCAGTTTTTTTTTTTTTTTTCCTTGTTGCTGGTGGGGATGCAATACTTTATTTGCATTGGGCAAGATTCAAGAGTTGAATCAGGAACTTAGACCAGGCAGTGATGCCTCCCTACTATTCATCACTGTGTGAAATGGATGATTTTCAGTGAGTTTCCCTGTAAGAAATAAACATAACAAAAACATGTTAACAATAACAGTAACAAACCAAAACCACAAAAACAACCCCCAAACCACTCTTGTCCCTCCAGTCCCACTGGGCAAAGTGTGCCCTCCATTTGGTGACGAAGCCAGGTATCTGTCATAGCTCAAGCAAAGTTAACTGCTTGCTGGTTCTCACAGCTGGACCCCAACCCTGCTTACCACATGCACTTTTAAATGACTTGTGACTTTGACTTCAGAAATTTCATTGCAGGCAAGAGCTTGTCTGTTCTGGAAAGTTCTGCAGTGTTACTTATGCCAGCCTAGAGAAAAGAGGCAGCACCCCAGCTTTGGATGCTGCCAAACTGATAGGGTGGATACTAGCATAAGGATATACTGGGATATACTGCCATGAGCAGCTGGACTCAAGAGGTCAAGAGTTTGCTCTTGATGCATGTCTTATGATTAGAATCTCCAATATCTAATAAGATGTGGGTTATAAAAGCCTTGTTTCCTGCATTTAAAAGCATTCATATTGGTCCTCTTCTGTGTAGAATGAGTGTAATAAAGGCTGAACTGCAGGCTGTCCCTCATGCCAGCAATAACAGGAAGTCTTTCCTGTACTTGGCTTATCCATCTTTATGAAAACTGTGGGAAAGTAATTGTGTCTGAGATCTCTGCTGCTTTTTGGGATTGATTAAAATCAGCTAACAAGGTCAGGCAGGAATTATAGTAAGGATTGATGTCTATAGTATGACTACATAATCCTTTCCCACTAGGAAACCACATGAAAATATCTATACATAGATAGGTTAATATAGGCTGACAGTTTATATAAGTATGGAAACCAAAACTGATGCAATGCATTGTAGTAATGATAGAAGTCATAATGTGGATGCAGATGGAACAGTTTAAATAGGCCAGTGGGGGAGTGGTATTGAAAATCACACCCACTCCCTGTGTAATTAATTTTTCTGGGCAAGCTTTTGTAGTGTGGACTAACCCCAACTGTGACACCTGCAATCTTCTCCTCTACCTCAGCTGCACAGACGATCCAATGGTTTCATATAGAAACTCCCACTTCCCCTCACAGAAGCCACACCGTGTTCACAAACTGAAGATTCGTGTTAAAACTAGACCCTGTGGCCACAATTAATTTTAGAATAGACTCATTCTTTAATTGAATAGGCATTATCAAAAGAGCTGTATGAGATGAGTTACAGGAATTTAATCTCCAGACTGTCCAATCTGATCTTTTACAAAGTCTAGTCCTACAGAAAGAATACTGTCTGAGATGCCAAAACTTGTTTCTTTGAACATGCTTATTCTTTCAGTATGCTTTATTTTCTGCAACAAATCTATCATTACTAATCAGGTATGTGAATTCTTCACAATTTTCAAAGAATACAATTCTTTTAGTAATACCAAGGATCCTACCATACAAAATGTTTTCCAAGTTAGT